ATATCATGATATGAATTTTTTGCCATATCGCACATTCCTAATTCAGAGTATTTTACATTGTTTTATATTTTGTATGATGTGACAAAAAGATTGGCATGCACAAAATTGTAGAGTATATTTACTTTTTATTATGAAAACTTGCCATGTTAAAAAAAAAAAAAACCTATACGCACACAATATTTTTTGGCATTTCAAAATTTCAAGTGCAAAATTTTGATTTTCCAATCTGGTACTAAACCAACATCGATTGTTGTCAGATGTTAACATTAACAGTTTCATTTTTAGGTATTGACAAAGTAACACTCTTTTCGTTATTTAAATCAAGAAAAAAATGTTTATGAAATGGTGTGGAGTTTTACACTAATCCCTACCTTTTTTTTTTTTATAGGAAATTTAAATTCTTGTGGTTTCTAATAATTCATGGCAGGAGTTGTATTATTAAAATAATGAAAGCTTTTTGTTGTTGTTTGTGTTTACTTCAGAAAGCGGGCCCCTTACATAGCCTATCTAACTCGGTGTCGTCAGGGCCTGCAGACCTCTCAGGCCCATTTGGAGAGGCTTTTACAGAGGGTGCTGAGAGACAAGGAGGTGGCCAATCGCTACTTCACCACAGTCTGTGTTCGACTCCTCCTTGAACATATGGAGTCAAAGATGCTTGACTTCATTAAAGGTATTTCAACAGATTCACCTGTTTGTGTTTCTAAAACACCCTACGAGCATATTAGCATTCTAACATCCATCCTTCTAAATAGAGATTTCTTATCTTTATGCCAGCTTTATTCTCTGCTGGTTTTCATATTTATACACTGTTTTGTGTGCAAGTGATATGCTAAAGCTCAGTGCAAATTATCAACCACAGCTTGCCACAAGAAGACTTACTTCTGTTGTTTTTGTGCTTGCCTTAAGCGTTCCAAGGATGCACAGCAGCTGATGACAAGACAGCAGCAGTGGAGGATTTTCTGCGCTATTTGTACGGTGCCATGGCCCGTGATGCCATTTGGCAGTATGCAAGTGAAGACCAGCTGCAGGATGCCCAGATGGCTATCGAACGCAGCGTTATGAACCGCATCTTCAAACTGGCTTTCTACCCCAATCAAGATGGAGATATTCTCAGAGACCAGTGAGTAGCTGCAGTGCTAAACAAATTCTTGTTTTGTTAAATTTCTCATTTACACCTCCGAATGGCTACAAGAATTCAGAGATTTCTCAAGCATGTACAGTATGAATGAGTCAAAGCAACACTCTGGGCATGTTTTTGATGAGGGAAGGACATTATAACATGATATAAAACTTAAAAAAAGTTGATTTTGCATAATACACTTACACCCCCCCTCCCCCCCACCAGTTTATTTCCATTTCTGTAACCAACCATACATGCTGGTGATGTTCAGTCCACCTCATTTATTCTGTCTCTATAACCTTCTGTCAGGTGTTGGTCCAGTCCACAGTCCACCTCCTGATGGACAGCTGCTGAACCACTGTTTTATTGCTCTGCAAGGGGCTGCTTGCCTTGTTTATTTTAGCAGCAATAAAATGATTAAAGATGCAGTTAAAATGACTTTAAGAGAAATATTTGTTCTAAGAAAAAGCACAGTAGTCATTAGACAGCTGTGCAAAAAACAAAACAAGCCCAGAACAATTGTCAGTCCTTTCGCTGATTAAAATGACTTTCCCACAGCCCTAAATATCAAATACTTTGTACTCTGGCATAAATTTAAGACCAAGAAAATACAAAATGATAAATAAAGAAGAAAAAATTGTAAAAATAAAAATGAAAATGGCCATGTTGCACTTTTTGTTCATGTGATTTAAGAGTAATGAGACAAACTGCTTTTAATTTTTGTGAAGCTTCACTGTGTCACAGTTTGTTCTCTCGGTTGGTTATCACTGATGTGTCATGATGACCGTTTCACAATCACCATACTGTTGTTAAACAAAGTTTTAAAAAATAATTTCTTTGAATAATATTATTGTTATTGATGAAAGCTGCCTGTAGCAGCTTCCTCCTGCATCCTGCAGTGTTCTCATGTCTGATGTGCATCATCATATACCAGAGGTGCATTGAAATCTTTGTTTTCTCTCTTGGTGCTTATTCACCGTTATTTGTGCATTAAAGTTTTGTCCAGAACAATTAAATCTTGGCCTGTTAAGATTTCTCATTGAATTAACAATAATAGTGGTGTCACTTCTCCTCCTCCCTTCCTCCATGCACTCGCTGTCTGCAGCACACGGCAGTTTGTCCAGAAAAGAAGTTGTTTAAAGATTTTTTGGCTGCAGGTTTCAACTTTCAAAAATTATTGCTTGTCGTGACAATAAGGACATGTTGGGAATTAATGACGTGTCTGTTCTCGGCATGTGTGTAGCTTTTAATTTCAGCCCACAGCTGGCTGCTCAAATCTGGTTTATTGCTTTTCAGAAGTTTTGAGAAACTTCTGTTTTACAACCAAAGTAGTCATTTTACTTTTTCTTTTTAGACACAAACAGCTGGTTTCCACAGTTGGACACAAAACTGACCTTCTCCAGTCTGCCTTTCCTTTAAAAAAACATATATATATTTAAAAAAACTACTCCTGAAATTGAATATGCAAATGTAATGTATTAATTTATTATGTGCTGTGACCTTCATGTGGGGGGGCTTCAGGATACTTGCTCTATTTTTATGCTAGCTTTTAGCTTCCTGTCGTTTTTCTACTTTTCACTTTTGTTTACCTTTCGGCTACTTTTCAGTTTTTAATTAGCATTCTGCTTCTTTCTTATTTTATCTACAATTTTTTAAATTTAGCTTTTAGCTATAGTTTTGCTGCTTTTAGCATTCTGCTAATTGCATACAATAACCAGTTTTGCACATTTTAGCTTTTAGCACTAATTATGTTGATATTAGTTGTGATCCACTTGTTTTAATTTGAAGATTTCTACTTCATTTTAGCTTCAACAAGTGTCAGTTGTCATTCAGCACTCAGTATTCACGCTACATTCTCTGTAAAAAAAAAAAATGGAAAAAAAGATTTGAATCTTTCCCCTCTCGTTGTGCGCAGGCTTTTCCATGAACACATCCAGAGACTCTCAAAAGTTGTAACAGCAAATCACAAAGCTCTTCAAATACCAGAGGTATTACCTTAACAGATTTTGTTTTATTCTACATGCATTCACAGAAAAGATGGATATGAATTGATACGCTGAGTTATTAAATTTAACACAATTAAATTGATTTTGTTGTAGGTCTACCTAAAAGAAGCTCCCTGGCCCTCTGCACAGTCTGAGATCCGGACCATCAATGCATATAAGACCCCCCGAGACAAAGTCCAGTGTATTCTGCGTATGTGCTCCACCATCATGAATCTTCTCAGTTTAGCCAACGAGGACTCTGTGCCAGGGGCAGATGACTTTGTCCCCGTTCTCGTCTTTGTCCTCATAAGGGTGAGTTTATTCTTTCTTATCCGACACTGGGAAGATTCAGCTGTGATTTTTAAACTCTTCATTTCTTTAGGATTTTAAGTTTTTTTTTACTATTTGCTTGTGAATCTGTAATTCTTCCACGTAACATCGTTGCACCGCAGCGTAAAGATGTGCACAGATTTCTTTTAAAACATATCTATGATTTAAACCTGTATGGTGTTGCGTGAGCCTTTTTTTTCTGAGCTCCTAATGGTCGCCCATCCCTACGTCTCCTCCCCTCCAGGCAAACCCGCCCTGCCTGCTGTCCACCGTTCAGTACATCAATAATTTCTACGCCAGCCGGCTGAGTGGGGAGGAGTGCTATTGGTGGATGCAGTTCACCGCGGCGGTGGAATTCATTAAGACCATCGACGATCGCAAGTGAAGCAGAACAGCCACCTGTATGGGCAGACTGCGGGGGAAGGAGCCGGGAGACTGGGAGACTTCCCAACCAACTGCTCCCCCTGCACAGCTTCCAAAAACCTGGCTCTCAGCCCACTCTTTATTTGTATAGCTTGTACATAGCCAGAGATGCTGAAAGAAAAACAAAATATATATTAATGTACGTATGTGGACAAATCCAGGTTTTGATCAAGGTGGTGAAAAAAAGGTTATCAAAAAAAAGCAGCTTTGTGGGAAAATTGGCAACATATCAACTCTAAATCTGATTGATTTTTTTCTTTTTTTATTGTTTTCTTCTTTGATTAGAAGTGTTTTATATATACAATTACCAATAAGACATTAAATTTATTTAAATATAATCTTATTAAAAAAAGGGACCACACTTCCTTGATGATGATAGTTTTTTTCACCTGGGTTAGAGGAATAGCCTCCAAATAAATGACAGTATGTCTATGTTATGCATTTTTTTCACACAGGGAATTACAATCATAACTTCAGATGGGACTTAGTGACATGCACACAATTAAACCGTACCCTTAATAGTTGGTTCATCCTACAGTTAGGCAGCTCGTTTCATCACTTGTTTACTCTGAAACATTCACCGATTTGGACACAAGGGCCTCTACGTATACGTGGATTGAAGTGTATTTATTTCTGTCCTATTTAACGCGTCAGCTAATATTTTAGAAACAAACATGCATATCATGCCCAATCAAGATGTCAGAGGCAAGCAATGTTACAATAAAGCTTGGCTTGAAATGCTGGAGTTAGGATGGCACCTTAGTATAGACGTAGCCCTTGGGTGGGCGGATACTGAGCAGTAAAGACGTACAGGGTCAACTCGTGCACACAGCAGTGGTGGCATTTAATGGATTTAATGAAAACTGTGCCTTTGATGTGGGGCGCTCTGTATAGGTAGTTATATTTGACTGTTTGTTTTTAATAGATTATTCCAAGATTAATGATTCCCCTACACACACTCTAATGGGCCAACCACATCTTGCTGTCCAGCTGCAGGAACTGGACATTTCCTACTAACATGGCTCAGTCTTTTCAATGCACCTGAGAATATCTATTATTTTACTTTTATTTTATTTACATCCTACCTCAGAGTTGAGCCTGATATCAGAAAAAAAATACAGTAACTGTCCTGCATTTATTAAAAGCCGTGCTGAATTGCATTTACACTGGTGTGTAGTTGGGGGAATGAAAGCATAGCTAAAATGATTGAAGAGAAAGTGAAATATTGACCTACTGTGGTGCTCGTTGTGGTCTCATCACCCTTTATCAAACAAGCCTTAGTTAATGAGCTAAGACGTGATAGTTTTGTATTAATATACCTGAGCTGCCACGTGTCTCCACATGGGCAGAGCAGTTCACTATTTTGGCTCTCTACCTCCTTAAAAAGTTCAAGAAAGGGACTTGTATTTAATGTGCGCTTATATGCCCCGCCCCACTTTTTCTTCCCCTGTCCCCCAATTTGGCGTGCTGTGATAAGTGTCATTATATTTTTCCGGTTATATTTCAAGCATGTCTTTATTGATCTAGAACTGACTAAATCTAATTATTTTTTTTCCTTTAATTATTATTATTATTTGTGCACTGTAGTTGTGCCACATGTAATATAGTTCTTGGTAACTTTTCATAGTTACTGATGAGAGAGCACGACACAGAAAATTTGAAGTCCAATTAATCAACACTATTGACCTGTTACTGACTTTCAGTTTATGCTAAAGTGGTTGGTGTATGTGGGCGTGTGTGTTTTTTTTTCTTTCTATGAGCGTGTGTGAGAAGTGAATGGTCGACCCTCTGCCTCCTCTTGCATGAAGTCATTGAACGGTCTGCACACTCTCAGTCATGATCAGCTGTAGAATAGGATTAGTTTGTGCCACAGACCTGTAATTGAACCTGCAAGAGGACGCAAAGCTTCCTTTTGTTTCTGTAATACTCGCATATCAGATCTCCATATATTTTGCACAAAACACTCGTGTTTTTCTAGGAAACTTTTGACAGGGAGCAGTGCATTTTTGGCAAGTAAATCAGCATAACTACTGTGATTAAAAAAAATATTCAGCAACAAACGGTCATGTTAATGAGCAGGATCAGAAGCCTTTTTTTATTTTGTGTTTGTGCAGCACATGAACCAGTTTTATGTGTATGTGCAGTGCGTCTCCTTGCAGTCAGTGGAATCAATTTGATGAGAAAACCAGGCACTGGAAAATCAGGCTGCAGGTTGCATCTATGCTAATTAGTTTTATGTGATGTCACTTTAATTGGGGAGTATGTACTCTGCACCAATCTGATCAAATTATTTGGACCTGGCTCGTGTGCCGTCATGTCCCCGGAAAGCCGATCGCAGCCGTTACGGGTGACTTCCTGAAGGATTTATGAAGGCACCAAATTATTGCACAAATAAAAAATGTGATTGTGTCAGCAATGGGGATTTTAGTCTTCGGGATAAAGACTTTTCAGAGCTCCAGTGCACTGCTCCCTGTATAACGGATAAATAAAAGACTCATTTAGGGGGGGTAAAATAAAAGAAAGTTTTACATCTTTCATCTGATTTTAAATTTATTTGTAAGCTTGCACAACTCTGAAATGCGGGGTAAGCCAGTTTGTCTTTACTGTGATTAATGCATTCTGTAAATCTTTAAAAAATAATAAAAGAAGCCGACATTTTCTCTCTCTCCCCTCCCTTTTCATACTTTTTGTTGGTGCTCTTACGCACTGCAGATGCACACCGTTTGCTGGTTTCGAGACTTCTTGCGCAGTTGTAAGTTTCTCCGTACACAAAAGGTTCACACGACAGACGAGAACCTTATTAAAAAGGAAAAATAAAAATGCACAGTGTATAATTGTGACTGGGGGCAGTGGAGCAGCATCGTCCAATCTAGAAGCCACAAATATCAACCTCTCAGCAAACATTTCATTACTGCTGACAAGGGCTTCAAAGGATTGTAATTGGAGATTTCCCCCTCATCTCTAAAAGCCATCCGTACTCCACCGATATCCCGCTCTAATACTTTTTCTTTTTATCATAAACTTCTTCGTGGGGTGCTTTGTGTTCCCTGATGATATCTCGCAATTGTTAATTTAAATTCAAATATTAATGTGCAAAGTTAATTAGTTGCATAAGCCAATGGGTAGATGGGGCAGATTTGAAGATTGGATCCTCTGATTATGTGGCACCTAACTGATTTCAGACGCACAGAAGCTCAGGTTTGATTTAAAGCAGGGCTTCATTTCTTTTTCCCTATCGGGTAATGCCTTCCTGCGGTACAACTAGACGTTTATGCAGGTGAGGCTGACCGTATTTGTGTAGGTACTGATGTCATTCTGCTCCTCAAAGACATCAGCAGGACTCACCCAGGCTGTGGGATGAACAGATGATCAGTCCAGCAGGACTCGTGCATGACTTCACATGTTGGTGTGGTGCTTCCTGACTGTAAGGAGGAGGAGGGGGGCAATACCCTCCCCCTATATCATGAGACTCCTCATGGTGTCTAAGAGGGAAAATGCCTTAGTTCCTGTTGTGTGGAAATAAGTACAATTTGTTCCCATGATTAACAAAGGGGGGGGAAAATAAGAAAAGCCACTTGTTTGTAAATATTTTTGTTTTTGTTGTTGTCTTTGCCAATACTGATTTAGCTCTAGTGATCATATTGGTATAGATAGACTCCAAAAGGTTAAAAGGTTATATATATA